ATTTGATTCGAGGATCTGCTCTAAGCGTGTATTTTTCATGCAGTGTTTGATACCGCACGGCGAATGAGAGAAAAAAACCTCAGCATTTCCCGGAAACTTAGATGCACACGGCAGGTAGCGTCAGAAAGCCGTGTGTGTTATCACAAAATGCGGTGAAAACCCTACACAAGGTTAAAGTTTGGTTGTGGTGCTAACATGTTTGCACTCGGTGCAATAGTTAACTTAGTTCGATACGAACAAACTAAATAAACAAAGAGCACTGGTCGCTCACTTACCAAATCTGTAGAGACAGGACAATCACCAGCAACTAGAGCCGCGTCTTTATTAGGAGAATACTACAAGCAAATCCGATCTCAGCGTTTGCAGATGAGAACAGCTCTCAGGTAAACAATGTTCCTCCTTAGACACATAAGTTATTATTGTCGAGCGTCGCGTACACTGTTAATCCACACGTAAGACTGCGCTCTCACAGAGAGAAAATAAAAACAAAACCTAACGGCAGCAAACTATAAAAACAACACTTCACGCTTGTTTTGCCAACACAACGTGGCGTCTATGTTGTGTAAACACAGTAATGAATATTAATGAAGTTGCACAATAGAGCGCGCTGATTGGTTTGAACCAAGCTTTACTCATGCATTAATGCATCACACTGTAAGACGTAATAAGACACACTCTGGCACAGGCATCCAGTCTGCACGCTGGAATACACGCTATTATCTCATGACCGTGACGCAGCTTCAAAAATTCGTTTTAAACAGGAAGTACGAATTTGCTTGAAATAACACAAAAACAACCAATTCACACTTTTTAGTGAAATATAGGTGTCCTAATAGTGTTTTTAGCAGTGTGGGACACATATACGACTGTCAACAGCTCAAAACATGTGTTTTGGTGTTTCATGACCCTTTAATATGGAAATTTCAGCTTCCTGTATGGAATGCTTTTCCAGGGATGATGGTTTTTACTGTGGCGCCTCCTGCTTGTGTTTGATAGTTTGACAACAAGAAGAATTCAGCTCTCAGTTTCCTGAAATCTAGTGTATTGTTATATCTTCAAATGTGGTTCAACTAAAATACGTATTTTTCATGCACAGTAAAGTGGACGGTAATTATATAGATATACACATATACATACTCGCCGGTCACTTTAATATGTACACCATACTAAAACCATTTGCTGTTTGAGTACAGTGAACTCGTTGTCATGTTCAAGAGGGGGAGTTGGGTGGCTTGAGGAATGCTCCTGCAGGAGCTAGAGCTGGGGAGTGACAGTAGAGCGCTAGTATAGCTGTAATCAAGCGATAAAAATTAGGGCCCGACCCCGACATGTACATTTTGATTGACAGCTTTATAAAGCTTGAACCTGTTTATAGCCCGACATTATTCAAACGTGCACAAGCACAGCTCTTTTGCTTTTTTTTCAAGAATGAGTCCTTTATACGTTTTAACATATTTTGTTTTGTAACAAACACTGGCTATAGCACTTGGAAAAAAAGTTGGAAAAAAGAAACAAAACAAGTGCTCTGTAACATCGTAACATCTCAGCACTCTAAACAGGCCTAGGCACATACATTTAGCCTTTAAATTGGCCAACATGCCAATGAAAAGAAACCTTTCCTAACAAATTCAATTCTAAGTTATGACGGGTATTTGTCAATAACTAAAGTAAAATAAAGGCTGTGCAAGATTTGTTTCGCCACTTCTCTTCACAATCTGGCCTGAAGGCGACGGTGAAGTTGAATAATAAAATAATAGCCTAATGCCAACATTAGCCTGCATACTCTGTCTACACTGAAAAAAATATTACCCCATATCTACTCAATAAATTTGAGGCAACAGATTCCAAGCAGTGTTATTAATTAAATTCAACATATATAGATTGAGTAACAATTAATCAAATTAGCTTATTTAAAATTAGTCATTTAAATTGAGTAAGCAAAAATTACTTAAAGAAATTAGCAAATTTTAAACAAAAATATTAATTAAATTGAACAGAAAAACTGACACCATGTTAATGAAAACTACTCAATGTTTTTATTTAGATTTAACATGAAAAGTGTGGAGCCTGTTCATCAGCTCTAGAAAATAATGCTTTATATCTACACAATAAAATTGAGGCAACAGATTACAAGCAATAATATTAATTAAACTCAACAAGTATGGATTGAGTAAAATGTAATTAAATTTAGCTCAAATTAGTGGAGCCTGTTCAGCAGTGTGGAGCCACAATACAGACTAACAACAATCTCATAATAGACAATACATCATATAATACACAATAAAACATGTACATTTAAACAAACTGATCATCTTAACAAGGACTTTGATCATCTTTTTTTAAACAGCAGTTTCAAACAACTGGACATTTAACAATTATTTAAAACAATAGACTTAGAGTGAAATTTATCTGATTTGATGCATGAAGGGTATTATTTGCCAGAATAATGCAGATTCATTGAAGCAAAGAGGACACCACAGTTCATGGGAATACTACCCTCTAATATCTTCCAGTGTTCACCAGACAGTCACTTGTAAAAACACATTTCTTTGTCACAGTTAAAATGCATATGTCAAACCCAGGTGGACACAAGCTCTGGGAATGTAGTCAAGAGCCGTGTTTTCACTCTCGCGACTTAAGTTAGCGTGCCAATACGAGCCAGGGCCAGTCACGTTTCCACAGTCACTTCCGGGGGCCTGATCGGATAACCTGGGCCAAAACAGTCCAGCTGGGGCTTTGGGCGAAGTGAAAGCAGAGTTTGCCTGAGTCTGGTAAAGATGAGGTCTATAAGAACTTTAACACCTTCAATGATGATGATGATGCTGCCAGTATCTTTAGGCGGTCCCCTGTAGAAGGCCCCTGCTCAGGTCAACATTACTGCCCTCACAAGCCGTTCAGTTCCTGTCGGTTCTTCTTTGTCCAGCTCAATTAAGCAACAGTAAGAAAAAAAAAATGAATAAAAGAGAAAATAAGTTAACAATCTGTTATTATGTTATGACACAGTTAGAAACTGTAAACATGATAAACATCGTAAACTCTACCTTTAGTCTCAGACCTCTGTCTTACTCCAAGAGCTCCTTAGCAGCTGTGAAGATCCACGGTGCACAGTGGCTTCTCTCTCCAATTCAGCGCTCACCTTATAAAACAGTTTTATTGATACATTGTAAAATATTTGACCCTTAATTAACAGTAAATTACTGACTAATAATTGTATTGCTTTCACAGTAAGCCACTGTGATTTGTTTTACAATTAATTACAGTGAAATTACAGCCATATGTGACTTCAAGGTAAGGCTCATTTCTGTGATTTCACCGTATTCTCTTGTAGAATTAACTATATTTTACTGTGAAGTTACAATTAATGGCAAGATGGTTACTGTGATTTAACAGTATCTTGTAGCTGAAATACTTAAAGGTTCAGGACACCCTGGAGAACTTTTTTTTTTAATATATTAACAGATGTGTGTGTGTTGAGCATCAGTTAAGACAATGTTAGCACCTGTCAGCTTTAATTGTGGGGAAAACTGGATAGTTTTGAGCTTATGTCAGCTAATTTCAGCTTCCGGGTTTAAAATGATTTTTGGGGCGGGATCAAAATCGGCGACGTAGCGCAGTACTGCAAGTGCAATGACGCGTCGGTTTCTCATTATTTTTCATAGTGGAGTTTTCTTATCCTATGAGAAGAGCCGGCTGCTTAATTATTCATGAGACCTGCCAGTGTCAAGCCCAAGCTGTGAGACACGTCACGAACCCACGGCACACAGTATTTAGCCGTTCATGAAGGTTCATATGCGTTAGTTTTCATGATCCACGGGGTTTGTTGCATGTTTTCCCCCGCGAGAATTAGAGAATGGCGGACGCTGTCTTTTATCAGGAGTTTGTTCACATTTAGACACATCGCCGTGCTGCTGTGTTTGCCTAAATCCTCCAAATTACCAGCAGGGCTAATGGTTAAAATAGACACTTATGCTGCACTGAGTCTGCTGGATACGGGGATTGAGGGAGAAGTCCTCATTAGTGTTTACATGAACACGATTATCTTTATAATGATATAAATTGTGGTTATGTGTATATGAAATTACGAATAACAAATGTTGCAGGGTATTAAATCACTGTTCATTTCTTTGCATTTTAACTTTGTAAACTATAAACTCATGCGTCTCCTATATTTTACAGTCTATGGTCTCATCACGGTTTGTCTCATTTTGTGAGCTAACGGACAACAACAGTTGTTTGCTCACGTTCTCCCCTGCTGGCCACGCCCACTCCTGCCCGATGCTCGCGGAGCTACACGCCCATTAATCATGCATCTTTTAAAAAAAATTCTGAAGTAGACTTTAACCGAACTTCAGGGGGTGTCATGGCCCTTTAACTGCAACATGTATGTCCTGCTTGCAACCTAGACAGTCATCCATTCAGTCAGTCATTTTCCTGATAAAGCCTGGTTTATACTACTGCGTCAAGTGACCGGCGTAACTCAAGGCGCAGGCAACGCGCGCAGCTGTGCATTTATACTTCTGCGCGCTGTCTCTGTTGGTCTGCATAAACACTTCCGAAACGCTAGTTGGCAGTAAGGTGTAAATGCTCCTCTGTGTCGAGTTTCTTCGCTTCTATTTTGCTTTTCCTGAACACTTCCTGGTTGTACAAGTGACTCAAACTCGATCATTTTGAGGCAGGAACCGGCGGACGTGCAACAACTTTAACTATGAGGTAAAAACAAAAAAAAACTTTCCATCCGGAGCTCCTTCACAGGACTCCACACTTGTAAACAATCGCTACATTGAGTTCGCGCCATTCGCGCGGCTCTCGGTCCCGCCCAGACTCGTCAGCGCTACCAAGCCGACCAATCACAGAGCTTGCGCTACGCGTTGTTGCTACGTGTAGCTACATTTTTTGAGAGGTGCACGTCAGCTTCGGCGATGGCCATGGCGAAGGGCTATGCGTCAACGCCGTAGCATACGCCGGCGTTTGACGCAGAAGTATAAATCAGCCTTAAGTTACACACTTGCTGGTTGATGTGTCTCCTCTGCCTCTGACACTATACAAAGTTGTAATTAGTAAATAGTGTTAGACAGTACTATTTTTGTTTTGGTTTGATAATGAGGTTCATAATGAAGTGAAGGCCAGTGCTTACCTTGCTTACTTTATTCTGTGGTCACTTTAACTCAATGCTGTGCTGAAACAAAACACAGTTAACAGTAAGTTAACAGAAAATTACCTTTTTAAAAAACTCAAACATTCTCTAATACCACGAAATTAGCATTAACGTTACAAACACGCGTTCTAATCTTTTCACTCATCATAGCGCAGGTGCTGCTGCTGATGTGACAATAAAGTGATTTGGTAACCTCGTTTATAAATAGACAAAAGAAGCTAAAGTTACTTGGTGAATTACATGCTATAAAGAAATATATAACATTTAATTAGCAAAGTTGGACATTTCAACACTTACCGATAAATCCGTTTGGATGAGACCACGACATCTCCGCGTTGTCTGGTGAAGCGAGTCGGCGTTGTTTGAGTCGAGTGACTCGGTTCGGTTCTAGGAATCGGCTCACTTAAGTGATTTGTAAGAGTCGGATGCCACCTGAAATCGATTGCATTTTTTTGTAATTACCAACACGATTGATTAGCATTTCGCTATAACTCAGTCACACGCATTTACACTATACACTAATTACATGTTGATGACTATAAGCTTTTGAACACGTGCGATAAAAAGATTCCCGATCTCCCAGCAAACAGTTCAATCCAAACACGGTTCAATCCGATTCAATCTCACACTGAACAGAACCAATACAATAATCAAATATTGCTCTAAATGTACCATGAAACAAAGTTTTAACGGTTGTTCATGCGAGAATGTAGTTGTTTAAAACTCAAATCCACTGTTTATTTCTAAAGATTGTGCGTATTTTTAAATGTCCTTTGAAAATTGCTGACATGTCCACCTCCAGGTCATGACGGGCGCTCATCACTCTGGTCCTCGGCGACTTGTGTGCCCCTGGCTAATCTGAAAATGCTCATTTTAATCATGTTGGATTTAATTATTATTTTCTCTTTCTGAAACTATTCAAAAATAACAGCTAAATTCTTCTAATAAAATCACGTTGGATTTAATTAATATTTTCTCTTCTGAAACTATTCAAAAATAACAGCTAAATTCTTCTAATAAAATCACGTTGGATTTAATTAATATTTTCTCTTCTGAAACTATTAAAAATAACAGCTAAATTCTTCTAATAAAATCACGTTGGATTTAATTATTATTTTCTCTTTCTGAAACTATTCAAAAATAACAGCTAAATTCTCATAATAAAATCACGTTGGATTTAATTAATATTTTCTCTTTTTGAAATTAATAAATTAACAGCTAAATTCTTATAATAAAATTGATTAGATTTTATTACAGACATTTTTTATTTATTTCAAAGCAAAAAAATGCCCTAAAATCAGGAAATTAATTTCATTAAATAAAGTGTACATCTACAAGGCCACAGAATGACTTTTTACAGTGTACAATATGATTTCATGGTTTAATTAATATTTATTTATAATTTAAAAAAACTGATGGTGCTGCTGGATGGTGCGTCCAGCAGCACCGAACACCCTTTCACCGCTGCTGCTACAGGCCGAGATGCAGAGTTCTGATCTGGCTAATTTTGCAACTTTTGGGTAGGATTGTTTGTTCATCTTTCACCAGCCAAGAACATCCATTTAATTTTTCATGACAGCGGTTTCAATGTAGTGAGTTGCCTCGTCATCTTTCCTGTCAGATTGCTGTGCTGTTTAGTGCTCTACCGTATGAGTGACCGCCGAAATACCTTTGCGACTAGAATGACAGGTTCTTTCTGAACTCGTGGTTGGCCTGACTGCAGTCAAAATTTGCTCTTTTTGACTTCTCTGTCATCATTTGTTTCACCTTTGCAGGGAGGGAATGTAATGTTGTAACAAACGATTTAATTTCTTTCTCGCGCTAATCATAATGCATCACATGACTGTTCATTTACTGGGCAAGCAAAGCCCGGCCTGACCCAACCCAATCAAAAATTATATAAATTAAACCCGAACCCTTCGGGTTCCATCATGTTCGGACAAAGGTCTTCAGCTCTACTCTCTAGTGCTGTCACTAGAGTGACACTAGAGTAACTCTTGAGTGAAAGGGGGGTGTTGGGGTGGGCAGGAATGACAAGGGGGGCTTGGAAAGGGGAAGAGTCCTGCTGGAGTTAGGGCTTATTTAAACTCAGCATGACCCATGGTGCCTGTCATGTGTGTAGTCGTGCATTTATAATTCTACATGCTGTTTGTGTTGCTTCCAAAGTGCTAGCTGGCAGGAGGTTTTTTTATGTTACTCTATGTTGACTTCTTAGTAGCTATTTGTTATTTATTTTTTTAATGCTACAAGTAGCTCAAACTTGTTCATTTAGAGAAGGGAATTGGCAGACTGACAACTTTTCTGTGTCAGCTGCAGCAAGAAGAATCAGCCTTTAGGTAAGTGATATGGGTAAAAAGCTGAGTAGTACTGGAAGGAAGGAAGAAAGGGAAGAAAAAGCGGCTGGGTCATGCCCTCACCCTCGGGTGCTAAATGGTGAGTGTCGACTGGTGAGGGTCTTCTGGCCTTCTTGGAGGCACTGGCTGAGACGTATGCAGATCTTGGAGGCGTCAGGTAACCATCTTTCCAGGGTCTGTATTTGCTGTCGCGAGAGAACTTTTAGCGTTGCCGTAGTGGCTGCTCTGATTCTAAAGGAGTGACTGGAGTATGAGTCTTAAGGGAGGCCTGAAAGGCACATGGCTTCTTTGGGGTGTTTCTGAAACCAGAATCATGTTACTGGCCGATTGTTGTCTTCCACAAATAGGGGAGAAAGAGGTAAGGGATTTTGGAATTTTTCTGAAATGTAAAAGTCTTAAGGCTCCTACACACCGGGATGCTTTTCGTTTGCATTTATCGTCAGCATTTTATGAGACGTTTTTTTCTGTATTTAAACCCAAATGATTTTCTCTGGCGTCAAGCAGAAGAGTATGCAAAATTACTCCATGACATTAGATGGCGCTACACAACTTTAAGCTTCCTAAGCTAACCTAAGAGGAGGAGAAGTTCACAAGCTTGTTGTTAAAGTTACTGGTGACTCAAACAAGCATGTATGGTTCAAGCAGCAGGTCCTGCTCTAGTGCGGAAGAAATAATTAGCGTTCACCAGAGCAATAAGCAGCTCCATGTTCATATCACCTCTGGGCATCTTCTTCAGTGTGCGCTCATATTAACAGTTTTGCGATTGAGCGCCTTCAAGTACTGTTTACTGTAACTTCAGCAGCTCCATGCACATGAACAAAAGTGCCGATCTGATTGGTGATGAAGGATTTGACGAGGCGCGTCAAAACAAAACAATGAGCATGAGGCGTTTTTTTTTAAAAATGACGCTTTTGTGCCTGGCGTTTTGTGCGTTGGTGCGCATGATCACATTGATGCCCTTTATTTAGTCACGAGGCGTTAAACGTCAATTGAAAACACGAGCAAAAAACGTCTCGGTGTGCACGGGAAAGTACTTTTCTAATCAATAAAGGTAAGATCTTAGACCATGAGGTGGATGGTTGGATTAAAATAAGAGGTTATAGTGATTTTTTGAGCATCTTAGGAAACCAAAAAATAAAAGGGTGAACATAGCATTGAGAGTTACTGTCTGCATGGGTAGACAGATAATCACTATGGAGAGTAAAAAATGCATTTGGAGAGGATATTGAGGGTGATGGACTGCCTGGAGTCGATGTTGAAATCTTCTACAATTAGTATATTATCAGTTTTAACTAGTAAGTCAGAATTAAAATCAGAAAACTCTTTTAGAAAATTGACATTGGGTTTATAATCTGTGATTAAAGAGAGAGATAACGTGTTTGTTTTTTTTAATATCCAGAAGCCTCTGTAAACAAGTCTTTAAAAACGATGTCATGTGCATGTGTAATGGAGGCCAGCTCTTTTGCCTTCTTGTTAGAGCAACCAATTCTCATGCAAACAAGGACTCGCGGGTTACACATGCAAAGTACGTGTTTAGGGGAATATTGTGGTACTTTCCATTAGATTAAGTTGAACTTTAAAGCAGCTCTTCAGTTTTACATTTCTGTTCCCATCTGACTTAGGAGATAAAAAAGCAAATCAACCTCAGAAGAGCCAAATCTACCGATCACAACATTTCCACAAACCAATGATATTTTCTGCTCATTTGTTACTGATGTTTAGAAGTAAGATAAAAAGAGGCTCATCAGAAAAGTAGAAAAGCCAAACGTATAGGCCACACTAAACCAGAGATGCCCAAACTTGGCCCATGGTAAACTTTGATTTGGCCCGGCATCCCATCTGAGAGGGAGAATGATGGGGATGGTTTAGAGATCGGATTTTTAAATTTTATTTAATTTAATCGTTTGTTTGTTTGCTGTATTGTTAAGCTACAAAAAGCTTACTTAAATTAAATATTTCAAGTCAAATGGTGCCTTTTAATTAGGTTTAACTTAAAATGTACATACTGTCACCCGTTGGATAGAGGCAAAATTCATAAGTAATTAAAGGGCGAGCACAAAAGATTAATGCATTTGTGACAATTATGGATTTTATTGTTATTCTGTAATAAGCTTTAGATTGCGAAACACGATGGCAGCGTTTCATAAATTAATGAATCGTGTTGTGTCGGGGCTTTCGGGTTGTGCAGTTTATTTAGATGACATAGACGTTACATGGGAACAGCATCTGGAGCGTGTTTGTGCTTTATTCTCCTGATTATTGGAAGCAAAACTCCCTGTAATTTTAGCAAAATGTGAGTTTGTCAAGGCAACGGTGTTCCTGTTTATTTTGGTTGTGGGTGGGTTATTTCACCTGAGACCCATTATGTGGTGCCTATTAAAAGTCCATCATTTTACTTGGGAAGGGAGCGTGATTAGTCGGACTTCCCTGCCTGGCATTTTTATAATTATATTTATTGTATTGTATTTATTTTCAAATATTATGATATTAATAAGGGAGTAGGTACTGCTGTCGCAAGAGGGTCGCTGGTTTGAGCCTCGTCTGGGTCAGTTGGCCTTTCTGTGTGGAGTTTGCATGTTCGTCCTGGTTTTTGAGCATCCTTTCACTAAACAGATGTTATATAATGTTTAAAACCATGTTATTACTTCACAGTAGTTATTTTTTGTGACCAATGAAGCATACAGTACATTATGTTATATTAAGTATGTAATTAATACTTTGCTCAATGTATACATTAATGACAGTAATGTCAGCATGCGTATATGGGAAGAGGACAAAACATTAATAAGGAGAAAACTAAATATGAACAGGGTTTTTTGGTGTTACAAATGTAAACAAATGTGATACAAAAGGTTATCCAAACAATTATACAAATGATAAAACAGCAGATTAGTTCTGAAATTTAAAATGTAAACTATGTTTGAAATATATTTTTCATAGATTATATGTAACATTTCAGAATTAATTTGCCGTCTTTATATATATATATATATATATATATATATATATATATATA